TATACAGGATATATATATATATATATATAGAGAGAGAGAGAGAGAGAGAGAGAGAGAGAGAAAGAAAGAAAGAAAGAGAGAAGGCAGATTGCATACAAATATCCCTTCCCCTAAGAAAGATGCCATTCCTTTATGAAGTAACAAGGCACCTGCACATGTCATACGATTCTGATAGACATGTCACTAGTACATCAAGGAATCCATTAAATAAATAAATAAATAAATAAATAAATAAGTAAGTAAGTAAGTAAGTAAATCCCATACTCATTAAGGCCATTTGCCCTCTAGTGATTTACAATGTCACCCAGCTTTGTTGAGGCAATATAAAGCTGTATCTTGGTGTAGGTTTTTGTGTCTGGCATCAATTAAGCAGTGACGGGCTTTTGGGCTGAATGGCCGAGGTCTAGTTTTTTGGTGTCTTGACATTTCGCCAGAAGCAAAAGTGGCTCTCTCTCCCTCTGAAAATGCCAGCCAAAGCTGCTGGCAAAACATCATGACACCAGAAAACTAGACCACGGCCATTCAGCTCGAAAGAATATCACTGCTTGAATATAAAGCCTGTCCTTATTATTCTGATCTTGGCAAGGCAACAGTGACTACAGAAAATGTTCTAAGTCACTGAACACTGGGGAAAAGGCCTTCCTCACCTTGAATGCTTGGGACATCCAAGTTTAAAGAACAGAGTTTACTTACAAGATGAGTTGCACATAGAGATATAGTATAACTACTGAATCTAATTTTTTTAAAGTGTACAAGTTCAAGGGTTCCCATGTTCAATGCATGTGCATTTGATTTAGGCTGTAATTCTTTGCATTTTTGAACAAGTAGGGAGACATGTTGTTAGTGTTCTCATTCAGAATTTTTAGATAATAAGCTAGTGGTTAGGCATTATTGTATGCAACAGAGACTTTATTTTGTACCAGTTTTCATATTTGGACTTCTTATTTGGATTGCTTTCATTAACTTGTTGAAAGTAATTTGTGGCTGATTTTTCTTAGATGATTTAGGAATACTGTAACCAAACCCAGCCAGTTTCTGTTACGTTTGGCACAAGTTTGTATATGGAACTCAGGAGCATGAACAATATTTTCATTCTATTAGTGATGTTAAATATAATATACCGTTTCATCTCAGCCTAATTTAGACAGCCAGACTAAGAAGGATTGTCTTGCTGTACTGAAAGGTCAGGGTTCCCGATGGAGGAATTTTTGTTGGAATTTGTCCAACAAAAGCTGAGAGGTGTCAAATGTAGCCAGAAGAGTTTGGGTTAGATATATATAAAATCATTCATGAAACTCACTCTGTGATAGTCCTGGCAGTAGGCAAGCATTGCTGGACAAACGTAGTCCAATAGGAAGATCCAAATATTGCATGAATTGTTAAGGAATACATGTATTGCTAAGGAGAGCCAGTCTGGTGTAGTGGTTAAGGCATCAAGCTAGAAACTGAGAGACTGTGAGTTTTAGTCCTACCTTAGGCACAATATCAGCTGGGTGACCTTGGGCCAGTCATTCTCTCTCAGCCCTAGGAAGAAGGCAATGGCAATTTCCAATCTTGCCAAAAGAAAACTGGAGGGACTTGTCTAGCAAGTCACCAGGAGTCAACATTGATCTCAAAGGCACGACCACCCATTGCTAAGGAAGACTAATCAACCTGTTTTATATAACATCTCCCCAACTTCTCCAAAATCAGGAAAAAAATACAATTTTATCTCTATATATTTGAGTGACATCATTAATATTCCATGCTCTTCCTGGACCTTGAAGACTGAGAATATTAACAATAACTAATGGTACGCAGCTTCTGATCAAATGTGAAAAAGTGGAGACTCTAGTCTGAATGCTCAGAAAACTGGTAAGGTTTATCTACACTGGTAGGTTGCCCTGCTTCCAGAATGAGCTGGCTGTCATTTCTGAAGGGTAAAAATGGACATCACTTTCTATTAGTTCCCCACTCACCTTCAAAGTAACCTCAGGGGATATATTTCTGCTCCACTTCCAAAGTACATGTTTCCTGGTTATGTTGCTTGGAGTATTTCTGTCTGTTTGCAATAAAGTATTTCAGTTTGTTTTAGGCTGATTTATCAGTCCACTAGCTACTTTGCAAAGAAAAGGAGCACTCTTTCAACTGAGGCAGTGCTTTCATGTACTCTAATAGGTTCTGTATATCCTTGTTACAACAAAGCTGAAACAGTGTAGTGGCTGTGATCTTCACTTAGCATAGGGAAGGTTGCTGGTTCAAAACCTGTTTGCAGGTTGGATACCAAAAAAGGAATATGCAGTGGAATATGCCAGAATGGTTAAAATGAATAAAAATGTATTAATTACATCCAGATACTTAGAACATCAGAGAGATCCTCTCCCAATCTGCCATGGGGAGTGCAAGTAACAGTAAGGAAGTTCTGCTATGGTATACTACTCACAAAGGAGTTGCCTTGGTAGGGTAAATCTTATAAAACACCCACACTTCCCCCCACCATTAGGAATGCTCAACCCAGTCTGAGGAAGATTAACTAGACAGAAATTATATAGTTTATTTGATTAGATTCCATGAGTAAAGAAGAGGAAGAGAGCATGTAGTCAGACTATGGAGAATCCACAAAGAAAGTTACAAATTAGCGCAGGTTGTTTGCCTTGTTAAACCTTGTTAAGGTGAGGTGAGCTACGCTGGAGGTGAAAGTGGTTAGCAATTAACTTAGTAAGGTCAGGGCAGGGAGCTTGTTAATTCATGGCTCATATTTGGCAAGCAAGTGATGTGGGCCACTCTAGAAAGCAAATAGGAAGAGCTAGCTTGTCTTCCTAGCATTAATTAAAAACGAAGGTCAATCTGAGGACATATCTGGAATCGGGTGGCATACAAATTCAATTCAATACATTCAATAAATAAGTAAAGCACACAGTCACTTGTGGTCCAGTGACTACCAATCCAGTGTAGTAATCTGCCACAACCATACAATATCACCATCCTTGAGAAAACATTCTAAATCATCGTGTTGTTTGTGTGGTTGTTGATGAGCTATTACTATTGAATTTTTAGAGGACCATATTTATTTTAGTGTCCCTTAATTTCATTTATTAAAAAATCCCCTCTCACCCCTATGGGTGGGTATGTGTCTTCCTCAATCTTGGATCCTCTGCCAGAGTTTGGGTTCTGCGCAGTATCTTAGCTGTTCCTAGCACTGCACTCTTCTGGACAGAGAGCTCTGATGTTGTTCCTGGGATCTGTTGGAGCCACTCTCCGTCTTAGGAGTCACAGCCCCGAGTGCTTCTACCACCCCTGGAACCACTTTGGCCTTTACTTTCCACATCCTCTCTAGTTCTTTCCAGCCCTGGTACTTCTCCAACGTCTCATATTCCTACTTCCTTATATTGCTGTCACTTGGCACTGCTACATCTACCACCACTGATGTCTTCTGGTCCTTGTCTTCTACCACGATATCTGGTTGATTGGCCAGTACCTGCCTGTCTGTCTGGATCTGGAAGTCCCACAGGATCTTAGCCCTGTTATTCTCCATGACCTTCTGTGGACGTGGGAAGGTCTAGCCCATACACTGTGCAGATGTTCCTGTACCCGAAGCGAGCTCCTTGGTTGTGTCATTCAGTGCATGCTATTCCTGCCTGCATCTTACATCCTGCCATTATGTGTTGGACTGTCTCTGAGGCCTCTCTGCACAGTTTGCATGTTGGGTCCTGTCTAGTGCGGCAGACCCCTGCTTCTGTGGATCTGGTGCTTAGTGCCTGTTCTTGTGCTGCTATGATCAGTGCCTTAGTGCTGTCCTTTAGTCCAGCCCTTTCCAGCCACTGATAGGATTTCCCAATGTCAGCCACCGCAGCTATCTGTCAATGGTACATCCCATGCAGGGTCTTGCCTTGCCATGGGACTTCGTCTGCTTGAACTTCCTCCCATGTCTGCTGCTGCCTCAGGCATTCTCTCACCAGCTTGTCTTTGAGTGCCACACACACACACAACTTTGGTTTTGCCTTTGGCATAGAAAGATAGAAAAAAGAGATACTTTCTTCTTCTTTTCCAATTTCTTTTTCTTTTTTTGCCCTATCTATTAGTGAGCCTGTAGGCTGAGATTCTGTAATATTTTAATCTCTAAAAAATGCTATTTGTAGAAGTGTTGAAATTGCTGAACTTATCAAGAACTTCCAGTTGATCACCTGGATTCTCCATTCTGTTTACAAATTTTTATCCCAATGCAGGTGTTAATTAGCTTACCCTATAACAGGTTTTAAATAGCTTTTAGGGTTGAAACTAAAGGGCAGCTTGTAATTTGTTTAAAGAAGTAAGATATATTACTGTCAGTGATAGTGTTAATATGTGATTATTACAGACATTTGCAATGTAATGTAATTGCTAGCCTGCATTTTTCCCTTTCATTTTTCTTTGATGTCCCTGCTCACAATTCTGCATTCCACCAATGTTTGCCAGTTCAGGATAAGACTTCAAGGACTTGATAAGCTTTTATGAAGTAGAGCTCAGTTAATGCTACAATACATTTGTTAATCCATAAGGTGTCATAAGACTCTTGTTCAGGCATTTTATGATAGATAGAGCTAAGACAGATTCAAAAGTGTTTCTCTTGGGACTGCTTGCACAAAACTGAAGAGATGGAGGGTTTCACTTCTAATCTATTTTATATTCTACTTCAGTTATCGTATATGTCTAATCGGAGTTCATTTCCAGTAAGGCTGCCTTATCCTCAAATTTATCAGATTAAGCCTTGATTTTGATGTCATAGCACTGTCTAGATAAATGTTTCTCAACCTCAGCAACTTTAGGCTGTGTGGACTTCAACTCCCAGAATTCCCCAGACAGCCATGCTATTTGGGGAATTCTGGGAGTTGATGTCCACCCAGCTTAAAGTTGCTGAGGTTGAAAAACACTGATCTAGATACTCTAAAAAGGAGGAACTCTGAAATTATATGCATACATACATACAGTATATAGCCCAAATAGTTCCCACTATTAACATTAGGCAACAAATAGAGAATTAACCATCCCTACTCTAAATAGTATTCAGATGGGATAGCTTAGTACCATAGAGCTCACTTGTTTAACTAAGTGTGCTGCAAAAACAGAAGCTCTAATTTTCGGATTATGTTGATTTAAAAAAATGCTGATCAATAACATCTTGCTTCCATCCATAGTAATGTAAGCAATTTGTTTTTACATCATAAAGCTTATTTGACAGTTCCAAACAACAGTGGACCGTGAGAGGGATTGCAGGCTATATACTGTATACTACATACCTACATACATACAATTAAAGAAAAAAAAATAACAAGATAAAAACAATACGAATTTTAGAGAAAAAATAAAATAAATAAAAATAGTGAATAGATAAGAAAGAAGATGAGAAAAAGAAAGAAAATAGAAAAGTAAGAGAAAGAGAAAGGAAAGGAAAGAAGGTGGCTTCTGCTCTTCTTGACAATGATTATAAATGTGTTTATATTTTACCCCCTCTAATATTACATCATAATTTCCTTCTTTCCATAGTTTACCCATTCTAATCATCAAACCCATAAATCACAAGTTCATGTTTTTCTTTCTTCATCAAAAATCCATAAGGGGTTGCCAGTCACTAATAAATGAGGTTATTGTCCTAATCACACAAGTCAATTTTGCCATCTCTGCTAATTCGGTGATCTTCACCAACCATTCATCCATTGTGGTTATTTCATTTCCATTTTTGTTCATATAATAGTCTTGCAGCAGTTATCTTATACAAAAACAATGTTCCATCGCTCTTTTCTGATTGTCTATCCATTAGTCCCGCAAAAAAAGTTCTAGCTTCAGTTGAATGTTGATCCTTAAAATTATACATATCGCTGTGTATATTTGAACCCAAAATTTCCTGTTTTTTTTTTTTTTTTTATGAGTTTGCCAGGCATGATTAAATGATCCTTCATGTTGTCCACATTTCTAGCATAGATCTGAGGTACCTTTATACATTCTGGATAATTTTTCTGGAGTCATATACCAATGGTACATCATTTTATAAAAAATCTCTTTTAGACTATAGCATAATGTGTATTTCAGTCCTTTCAACCACATATTTTCCCATTGTTCCATCAGTATATTATATCCAAAATTCCTAGCCATTTTATCATAGTCTTTGATTTGTGGTTCATAAATTTCAAATCCTGTCTTATGCTGTTCAATTGCAAATGTCCTGTTATCTATCTTAAATCTTTCTGTGAACAGTGCATATGAGAACCATTGAAAATTAAAACCCTCTACAGTCAATCGCTCTCTTTATTTCCTCTTATATTCCCCATGCTCTTGTTCTAATAACTCTCGATATGTTAACCATCTTTCTTTGCCGCTGTTTCTTTTCTATAAATGCTTCTTGTGCTGAAACCCATAAAGGCATTTTCAGGCACAATCTGGGTTTATATCTCTTCCATATTCTCAGTATGGCACTTCTAATAGAGTGATTTTTAAAAGCTACATTAACCTTAACTTTATCATACCATAGAAAACCATGCCATACAAACCTCAGGTTGTGCTCTTCTAGTTCTAAAATTCTCCTATTTCTCAGCAACACCCACCCTTTCATCCAAACCAAGCAGCAGACTGCAAAATACAATTTCAATCAAGCAGTCCCTATCCGCCTCATTCCTTGGAGGGTTTTATATTTAACCCTTGGCTTTTTTCCTTGTCATACAAACCTAGATATATCTTTCTGCCATTGCTAATAGGTATTATTTGAAACAAAAACATCATTCTAGGCAATACATTCATTTTTGTATGTATTTTCCTCAACAATGACAATTGAAATTTTTCCCATCTTAGCATATCCTTCTTTCTTAATTTCATTCCATGTCTTAATGTAATTGTTCTGAGATAACATACAATTCATATTAGTCACCCAGGTATTTCACTTTTTTTCCTCAATCTTAAAACCAGTTTTTTCCATGAATCCTTTTTGCTTTTCCATCCCCTTATTTTTTGTTAACATCTTTGCTTTCTCATTATTAATTTAAAATCCAGCTAATTCACCAAAATCCTTTAATTTTTTCATTAATATTTCTTTTCCTTCCAAAGCATTTTCCAAAATTATCACTAAATCATTGACAAATGCCTGTTAATTTAGATGTTTCCCTCTTGTTCCTTCCCTAAAGCCAGCATCCCATTCTCATGAGACCTGAGGAAGATCAGAAAGTTTCTAAAGGATCATGAGGATGGGACACTGGCTTGCAGAAGGCATGGGATGCATGGCTTGGAGAAGGTACAGGACAATGGGATGATGGCTTTAGGGAAGAAAAGAGGGGCATGGCTTGGGCAAGGGATGGGACAATGGGATGCTGGCTTTAGGGAAGGAATGAGAAGTGCAGCTTGGGGAATGGTGCGAGGCAGTGAAGGCCAGCAGCGTGGGGCCTGAGGCAGCATTTCTCAGTGGCAGCAGCAGCGCTGGGTCTGATGTCAAGGCCTGAGAGTGGTGACAGCTGGGTTAAACTGCTGAAGGTCTTGGGCCTCTACTTCAGCCCCAGCCCTGGCACTGCTGCGGCTGAATGACGCTATGCAGGGTGGCCAAAAGGACATAGATGCGGGGGAAATAGGCAGGTGGGGGAGTTGCAGTGCCCCTGCAGTCATAAGTGGAAAGGAAGGAAGGAAGGAAGGAAGGAAGGAAGGAAGGAAGGAAGGAAGGAAGGTAGGTTCATTTTAAATTTTGTGTCTCTGGCTTTGCTATCTGGCTTACTTATAAAGACATACTATGCTCCTCACTGAGATTCATTATTTAAACCGTTAGATTAACTCTGTTACCCTTGTGTGCAGAAAGTAAAAGAGTTAGATTAACTCTGTTACCCTTGTGTGTAAGAAAGACTCTCTACCTTGTCTAAATGTCTTAGAAAAATTCAGATTTCTTTATTCAGTGAGACTGAATTATTTCTTCTTTTCTTCCTCTTCTAAAAACACCACAGGGTTTCCAGCAGGAGAACTCCAGAAGCCTTTCTTCTGGGGAACAGAATATCCCAGGTAAAAAGTCTTTATATATGAAATGCTTATAAAGTCAAATACTTATAAATGAAATAATTTTACAAATCAGCAGAGACACTTGTTGAAGCAAGAAACTGGAAAACCTAAAGATATGTGCAATTAATGATGCTTTATTAACTTTAACTTTATTTTTTGCACTGAAAATATAGATCAAAATGAAAAACTGCTCTTTATTTATAACTATAATAAGAAATACATGGCTATTTCTTTTTTTTGTTTTCAATTCATTAGGGATACGACCATGCATTCTGGCACTCCTCCATCCTCATGCCCTTTTTTAAGCCTGATGAAACAGTAACCCTAGAAAAGAAATTCTCCTCATATTTGCTTTATTGAGGTTTGTTTTACAATAGGGCTTGTCATCATCCTCCGTTCCTGTCCCGCGTATTTAAAAACCCCATTATAAAATGAAAACAGGCTGCAGGCAGAGATGAATTAAACATCCACAAAGCCTCATGTATTGCAGTTCAAACTGCAGTGAATATTTTTAGAAAACAAACTGCTGATAGCTGTGGATCAATGTAGAAGCTGCTAGCTTGCACACATACAAAACCCCCCAACCTGTTAATGCTAAATATCATGTCAATGGAATTTAAAACATACAATTCCTATTTAAGAGATTAGAGACCGTTCTTAGGTTTCCACTTTTTTGTTTTAATCATGTTCTTGATAATTGTTACACTGGAAATAATCTTTCCCCACAAGATTATTTTCCCCCAAATCCTTTATGTCAGCAGAATTTGCCTCCTTATAGTCTCAATGGGAATTGAATTATAGAGTAGGAGTGCTGAGTATCTCTGAGAATCTAGCTCTCAAATCATGAAATGTGACAGCATCCAGATTCCAGAAAGTAGAGATTAATTTTACTTCTTTGCCTGGGGCAAAGTTTGATAGTTACTGGCCTATGAAATCCTTGTGGAATCCGTGTGTAAGGCAGTGTTATGAAATCAACATTGATTGAGCATGTCTACACGGAAATTAAAGTGCTAACTGCTACTTATAAATTAGTGTGATTATTAATTGAGAAACAAAAAATATGGAATTATATACATGGTAACACATTGTGGAAGATTTTGTTCTTTTCACGATAGATACTCTGTATTAAATGTTTTTATTTCCCAGTGGTTAACAGCTTTGGAAGACACAGCATATTAAACCGTATTTGAGCTTGTTCCACTGCTGGAGCCTTATTCCACTATCATGAACCATCAGTCAAGACCAGGCATAACAACAATAACCAAAAAAAACCCAAACCCAAAACCCAACCTATTAATAATGGAAAACCCATAACAAGTGGAGGACCAAAAACCTGTGTGCATGTCCTCAGTACTATATGGCTCAGAACTACTGAAGTAGCCCTGTGCATGAAATTCAGCCGCTATCTCCTACTAAGTCCTTTATTAGATCCATTTTCTCTTTTCATTAACTTTCCTTCTTCCTCTATTCTTCCCCTAGATTTCTATGGCTCATTCTGCTATCAATACTCATATTCTTTTTCATCTGTTCTGCATTTTTAAAAAAATTTCCTTGCTTCTCTGCTTTCTGTTAGTTTCCCCCTCTTATTCTTAAGATATCCACAAAGCTCCTCCTGAGCTTACAGCCTGTTGTATGGTTTCCCCCCCCCAAGCAGACAGCCCCCCTTTTTTTTAACAAAGAAAACAGACTGTAGGCAGTCTGCTGCCTTTTTTTTATCTGGGAATGTGAAGTGTGTGAGAATATCTTATGATTTATACATACATTGTTAGAAGTTTCATGGCTAAAGTTTATTAAATAAATTAAACTGGAAATGTTGTGTTATTGTTCCAGTATTGCTCAGTTTCTTGTAAAAAAAAATAGGATAGAGATTTCATTCTGTTTTGTATTGCAGGCACATTCCTTGATACTATCAAAAAGTTGAACAGCCTTACTCTTAAAACTGTGTTCTATATTCGATGCCATACCTGTCTTCAGTACAATATAAAATAATAAACTTGTCATAGAATGGGATGCTTCCATTGTTGAAATGTATAATTTTAACCTCAGGCTTGTAATGGAATTTAGCAGTGATAAAAATAAAATCTGTAAGAAGCATTTTATGACATACAAATTAGCTTTTGTAGAAGATAGAATAAAATAAAAGGCCAAGGTAGGAATTAAAACATACTGTAGGTTTTGGATATGACTCAGAGAGCAATTACCATCTTATGGATTGTTAAATCAAATGAAAGATCTTTGAAAATCTGCAGTGACACTGATGGGGTGGCTGTTGTTACTGTAAATTCAAACCAAGCATGGGGGACTCTGATTTGGATTGGACTACAGAGTCAGTGGAGAAAAGGTATAGCCTTCCTCCCCCCCCCCCATTTCAGTCTTGAGGGAAGTGGGGTGGGGTGGGAAACATAACTACAATTGAAAATATATCTTCCTTTGACATCAGTTGGAGCTTTTTCCCCCTCAGTGAATTCTTCCGCACGACAAGCCGTTGTGGAGGCAGGCTGCCCCAACAGCAGGTGAACCCAGCCTGCAGATGAAATGCGTGACTCTCACTTGAAACAGACTACAGTCTATGGACTGAGAGGCACTGCCTGTGGTAGGAAAGCAGTATGCCCTGCTGAAAAACACCCAAGACAAGAACCGCAGTGAATGTGCATTCCCACTATTCCTGAGCAGAGGAATATTTGGAGGCTTGTGTTGTGTTGCCCCAGATCGCAACGGGCAGCCCCAGAGTTCATTCCAGGCTTTTCGGATTGGCTCCTTGCTTTGTTTTTTTATATTAGTTCCCCCCCCCCCGCCCCAGGTATCTTCATCCTTCATCTCAGGATTGGCCAGCTTTTGGGTCCACCCCAGGCAATGAAGAGATTTTCTGAAATATGTGATCTCTGCTGATTTTTAAAATGACTTTATATTTAGAAATATAGATGTAGAAGATGGAGTAATATGTTTCGATGTAATTTAGATTTCACTTTAGCCAGGCTGGATGCATTACCCTCAGCAGTCCTTTCCAGACATTTTAAGGGTACTCCTATGTATCTTCAGTTATGTCCGTGTGGCTCAATAGAAACTCTAGGCCATATGTCACCACACTGCTCCCTATACAAGGACTCTAGACAGACCTTCATTTATCCGATGATGAAGAAATTTCGGAGCAGGGAGTGTGATTTCTACTTACTGGTACTTCTTTCAGATAATGACTCAAAATATCTTCCCAAGTTGCCCAGTTTTGTGCTACCATCTGTACAATATGCTGCACCATTACTTAAGTTTGGTTACTTATCTATTCATCACTTTTTATAACACTATTATTTTATTTTATTGTATATGTTCTTATTTATTTTTAGATCCTATTATACTCATTGTTTTTCTGTTATAGATGTATGCGACAGTTTTACTATTGGATATTTTACTGTATATGGCTTTATGGCTGTAATAAACTGATGTGATTATAATCTCGATTTAATAATATTTTTAAAAATTGAGCTGTTTGTATGTTAGTATTATATGGATCTTTTTCTTCTTTTTTGAAGTTTTTGTTATGCATACACACACACACACACACACACACAAAATTACTGTTATATTGGTTTTATTTTTGTTTGTTTAGTTCATTAATAATTCTTTTTAAAAGGAGGGAGATTTTCATCCCCTGTTTCCTAGCTTACATTTACTTTGCAACTTCTGTACACCTTCACCCCGTTGTGATTTCCCCATTTTTCATCCACTAGCAGAGGGGTCAAACTATATTTTATGGCAGACTTTAACTTTGAAATTTTAAAGAAACCGTGTTTTAGCTACAAAATGTCCTTGTGGAATAAAATATGAAACAACGGAAAATGAAATAGCACAGCAATCCAATGCAAATTCCGAAAATTAAATTCTATTTCTGAAACTTTCCCAACATCAATTTTGCCACCTGTACAATATGGTAAAACACCTCTCTTAAAAAAATAATAAATCTGAATTTCCCTGATTATATATGCAACTTGTACCCACATTTTATATTATCAACTCCTAGCCTCTGGCTCAGGGAGCCATCTTTCCCTTCTTTTCCTGCCATGGGTATACAATGACTCATACTGCAACCTACAGTGATTATTAAGTTACAGTGAAAAGTGTCTGGTTGTAAAAATGCCATCATGCTATCTTTTGGGTATTACAGCCAACAGAAGATTTTTAATATAAACAGAAAAAAATGGCTTGTTTCCCAATTATAACTTCTCCCTCCCTCCCTCCCTCCCTCCTTCTATTTTGTGGACAACCATACAAATGCATACAACATGTTTTGAAAGCATAAATGGCAATATAATTGAATGTCTATGTGCGTACACATATTCTAGGAGCAAGGGGAATTTTGTTACTCCAGATCTGGCAGCTCAGGGGCAGAATATTGTTTGATTTCCACTTTTTAAACTCTGCTATTGGTTGGATTCAGGATAATTGACTGGAACATGATGTTCCTTGTCTGTCTTCACCATTTTGAATTCAGCTCATGTGAAAATGATTAAACATTAGCTTTAGAGTGATTTCTGAGAGTAAAGTGGTTAGTGTTAAGTTTCACTTTCTTCACTGAACACTTGACCCTTCAAAAACTAAAAAATATGCCTTCATTCCAAGACTATGTCCATATTCCTTTATTCCTCCCTGCTATTTCAAACATGAGAACCATCTGGTTCCTTTCACTGGTATATTTTAGAAGCTCACTTCTTTAGTCTGATATTTAACTAATCTTGCACATCTCCCCTTTCCCTTCATTCTTCTTCCATTTTATGGTTTTAAACTATAAGATTGAGGAAAGGCCTTTATATTCTTTAATGTTATATCTTCTTAAAAATAAACGTCTAACAATAAATGAATAAATAATAAGCACCAGCAATTTGTTATTACTGCATGCACACTCCATTCTAATAAATTTGACTATGTATACTTTAGACGTCTCTCCATCAGATTTGATTTAAGGTAGCTTACAAGCCGTATTTGGCTTGTATAAAAATAAAAGATTCAATGTTCTTTTGACGATTTAATTAGCTTGAGTTTTTTGGTTTTTTTTTTGGCGTGTTTGAAAGTTACAGTTGTTAACCGCTGTGACAGATATGAAGTTTATCTTCCTTCATACTGCAGGGCTAGTAATTGATTCCAAAAGGTTAATTGTGAGCAGCCATGAAAATTGTTGATAGAAATGTAACACTGAACTGTGATTTGTCCATTAAAATAAAAACATCCAATGTAACTGTTAATTAAAACCACATACATCATATGCCATTAATAGGTTTTTCATAGAGAATTATATGTGAGGTGGCACTGTGTTTAATGTACTCAGAGAAGTTTAATGTACTTCTATGTGTATATTAGCCTAACTTCCATTTGCTTTTTACAGACTAAGATTTTTTTTTATTTCTTAGCAGCCAAGTGTTTTTCAAACAACAGTGGTTTTTTCAAAGGTTTCTTTAAATATACTTTTTTATTCACTTTTTCTGGTTTACATAAAACTGAATGTAAATTCTGGTGCTCTGTTTTCTCCATCTATGTCAAGTTCCTTTCTTTTTCAGGTCATTAAGCTATGGTGCTATTGGAGTAATTGTTGGGCATGAATTTACTCATGGATTTGATAACAATGGTGAGTTATTCAGATTCTTAAACTTTGGTAAGAAAAGTTTAAGTTTAAGACTAATCCCAGAGCCCCATCCTAAATTTAGAAATAAAAATGATGAAATCTAAATGTAAACATCACATACTTTCCAAAACAAGATGGAGATGTAGTGTTTGTGCTGTCTTTTAAGTGAAAATAGTTGATCATGAATTAAATTCTTCTTTATATTCCCTCAATCAGGAAAAATGTAAGATTCACCTAGCTAATGAAGTGATTTTTTTTTAAGGAAATGTTTCTGGGTTCAGTTTTAAGAGATGTGTATGTTTATTATTAATACTATGCTTTGTATCATACTTTTTTTTTACTTGAAAATGGAAATGCAGGTCGCAAATATGACAAGAGTGGAAATTTGGATCCCTGGTGGTCCTTGCAGTCAGAAGAAAAATTCAAAGAAAAAACAAAGTGTATGGTCAATCAGTACAACAACTATTATTGGAAAAAAGCAGGATTGAATGTAAGTTTGGCTAGAACTGATTTGGACCAGTCAAAACTAGATCTGAACCAATCAGCAGTAATATTTTGATGTTTGGCTTATTTGTGCAGCATGTAGTATACTTCCTTACCTCCTTTGACATGGTTTCTTCCTGTATATTCATTTAGCTTACTATATTTATTACAGCTTTTTCTGTACTGCCCCACTGAGTAATGCATGCTTTCATCTAGTTCCATCTGGCTACTCTGGCTGGTGGGAAAGGTTTTAAAGCTCTACCTATTTTCAATGCTTTCCCTCACTTTTTCCTTTAACTTCAAGGCAGGGAGGCAAGAAACCAACTTTGCTTGCTTGATTAGATGATTATTCACTATGCACCTATGCAATTATATAGCTGTCAATAACCATACAATAGGTATGATTAAACCTGCATTCCTTGCAGCTTTAGATCTATTTAGATCTCTCACTCTTTCTCTCTCTCATCTCTCTCTCTCTCTCTCTCTCTCTCTCTCTCTCTCTCTCTCTCTCTCTCTCTATCTATCTATCTATATCACAACAGTAGCATGAACAAAGAAAAGACTAACATTATGAAGCATTAGAATCCACTGATTGGATTCTTTGGAAAACTTAAGTAGCAGTGCTACATAGTTGCCAAAGTGATCTGAAAGACAGCGTATTCTTCCACTTTTCCAACAGTTGTAATGCTACAAGCAGCTTGAAGCATGTATAGAAAACATTATAAATGTTTTCCAACTTTGCCTACAGGTAGTCCTTGATTAACGACTGCCCTGTTTAGTGACCGTTCAAAGTTACAACAGCACTGAAAATGTAACTTTATGACCAGTCCTTGCATTTGCAACCATCGCAGCATCCCCGCAGTCACATGATCGCCATTTGTGCGCTTCCCAGCTGGCTTCTGACAGCAGAGTCAATGAAGAAGCTAATAATAAAATTGCAGGTCGCGGTCACATGAAGTTTCGCTTAACAATCATGTTGCTTAGCAGTGGAGTTGCTGGTCCCAATTGTGGTTGTTAAGTAAGGACTACCTGTATTTTGCTTGCAGTTATGCATTGGTATATGACACTAGATTGCATTACATGCACAGCAGATTAGGCACTGTGTTGATTAATGTCCCTCCTACCCACCAGCAAATATATGCAGGTATGATACTATGGGCCAGTAATACATCCAAAATGAAAGTATTTATCCTATCCTTGTACTTTTTTCCAGTTAGGTGAAAACATTTGATGTGGGTTCAGAAACAATCATGTTAATTAACAATATTCTTGCTCCTAGATAAAAGGAAAAAGGACTTTGGCAGAAAACATCGCAGATAACGGAGGATTGCGAGAGGCTTTCAGGGTAGGTAGCTCTTTTGTTTCTAAGTGCAGACCAGTAAATACTCCCCACCCCACCCCAAATATAATATTGCAGGAAAAAAAGCTGGTGAAATCTGCACTGCCTTCAATGTGTTCATTATGTCTCTCATCAGGCCTATAGGAAATGGGTCAAAGAAAAGAGACAGGGAGAGGAAGAGGCTCTATTACCAGGCATTGACTTCACCCATAATCAGCTCTTCTTTCTGAGTTATGCTCATGTGAGTAGTACAAAATGTCATTTCAGAATGGATATATATATATTTAGCTGTTCACTGTATGGTGGGTAGACATTATAAAAAGAATGTCATTTTCTTAAATTGTAGATTTTGACCAGTGGTATCTCTCTTTCTATCTCTCTCTCTTTCTCTCCCCCCTAACTTACTTCCTTCCTTCCTTCCTTCCTTCCTTC